GAAAGAAAGGAAGGAAGAAAGAAAAGTGGTAAAAAGAATCATCAGAGACTCATTTCCCCTACCTCTCTTAGGAGAGGAAAGGGGTACTAAATCAGTAAAGGCACATTAACAGGAAGAAAAAAACTACAGAGATCATGAATAATAATCATAATACAAACATTAAATGATCAAACCAATGCACCAGGCAGCTTACAAAATGCTTCCATGTTACAGTATTTCAGCTGCTGAATTTGGCCAAGAGATTGTACTCACAGTTAAAGGAATGTTATTGATCATTTTTAAGACCCTCCTGAAAGATGCCAAACTTAATTTACTAAAGATACTGTCGAGTCCTTTGGAAACACATGACCCACAGTTTCTTGGCTTCCTTCATCAATAGAAGGGTTGATTTAGTCATCACCCATGTCACAACGAGGGTGACTCACAGAATGGGAAGGGAACTTTAGCAGAAGCCCAGGCACCTTCACCTCGAGAGGATCAGCGAGGTCAGGGAGGCACAACGCTTCCTTCCCCAGCACAAGCGACAGATCTCAATCAGCCCGGCAATCCACAATAGCTTCTGCATCTGGGCTCATCTTCAGAAAGGTAACCAATGACTGAGTTTTGTTATTTATTCCTTCATTTCTCATGTCAGCCTTCAAACTGTCTGATTTTCCTCACTCTTACAGAATTCATCAAGTTGTCTTTCATGCTATGGTCAACGGTTGCTATTTTAAAAAAGTAATATGTTGTAAGGCAGTGATGGGCACTGGGTTCATCTCACCGTAGAAGTGATGTCAGTGTTACCCGGGACCTTGCCTTGAACTCCCCCAGGTCTCTCTTTGAATGTTCTTTAGCACCCTAGAGTTACAACTAAATTTACATCTAGTTATTCTATCTGTGACTGTTCAATACCATATGTAAATCCTATAATTAATTGGAAACTGGAGTGAGAAGGGGTTCCAAAAAAGAGTAGGAATTTTAGCTGAGTTTCTTACTGGAACAACAGATTTGCTTCCAACTGCAGGGCCGATCTTGTCTACCTGCTCTACAAATATTATCAGATGTCCGTTTAGGCAAATGTGCGCGCGCGCACACACACACGCCCCAAACTGAATAAGAAAAAAATGCCTGTTAGGTCAAAAAGACAAGGGAAAATTCCTCACAGTGCACATTTGATTTATGGATACTGGAATGACAGCAATAAACCTACTTTAGATATTTATTCTCCATTTTATGATCCTGTGGTTGATATTTTATCTGAAATGCATTGGGCCGAGGGCCTAGTCAAAGTCTGCTTTCACTTCGACCCCCAACTTACAATGGGAAAGGGAGAAAGTCAGTTTTGTGGCTTTGCTGCCATTTCATCCTGGCAGCCCTTGTTCAAGGCTTTAGAATGTAAATGGTGCAGTCTGGGATGCTCTCTCGCAGTGGGTTGAGTTTTAGCATTTGGTGAAAAAGTTTAAATAAAACATGTTTTTAAATTAAAAATCAATATAGGATTGTACAAATAGTTCTGAAATGTCCTGCTACATTATTGGCTCAAGGGGAAGGATTGTGCTTTATTTATGTTAGTACCCCTTGGCATATATTAGGTGCTCTAAAAAATACCCTTGGCTAGTTACTGAATGAAATGAAATGGAAATGTTGTATCATCTTTCTATTGTATTTTTGAGATTTGAAAAATGTGCCCAATGTTTAGAACAAACTTCAATGTTTAAAAACAAGAAAAAATTATCACATATATTTCAAATGAGGAGAATGGGAATTGGTCTTAAAACTCGTGTAACAAATGTCACTTTCTTAAGGTACCATCTTTAAAAGCTCAGATCTTTTCTTCTGCTCAAAGATAATGCAAATTGAAAGTAGTATACGGAAGATTTAAACATACTTTCTGCATCTATACATAATATTCTGTCCACATTCTAAGCTTCCTTTGAAGCCTTGTATCTATAAGCATAATCATGTACAATATATATTCTCTCCCAGTTAGCAATATTTATTCAGTGACCATAAATAAAGTAACCATGGCTGTAACAATAATTCTTAACCTGCCAGTGCTGTCAGGAGGCATACTGGCAAAATAATAAACCTAGGAGGGACTGAGAATAATTAATTAATAATTATGAATTTAATGTAAATTATAATTAAAAGTTGGAGAGAAGGCAAAAGAAAATCAGAACTACTTTTATCCTTAGAACTAAAAATGCCAAACATAAATCCATCAGGCCTCCCCTGCATCAAGAGCAGCTGGCGCACCTCTGCTAGGCGACTGCCTGACCGAGTCTGCAGAGGAAGCATGGGTCTCTCCATGCCTCGCTGCCCTGCTACCCAAAGGGCCCTCGGGGTACTGTGAGCCACCTCTCTCCTGCAGGAAGCAGGGTTCAAGGGAAATGTGCCTAAGGGAGGAGCTTCTTTAACCCATTGACTGAGGGAATTTACATTCCATGGTGATGAATACCATCTCAACTATAACATAAGCTGCATCATAATCACTATTAGTTATCTTAATCAGACCCTCAATGGAGCACGTGTTGCTTAATGTAAGCATATTTCATGTTAGCTCCATCTTAAATCTTTTTCTTTGTATTTCTGGCTGCTCAACATAAACTTTTTTTTTTTTCACTGAAACATATTTCTCTAATCATAATTGAGTTTGCGTCATTAGGCCCACATGTTTGTTTTCCTTAATGAAAAGTACAGCAGAAATCTATGAAAGGACACTTGGGTTTTTTTAAAAAAAATAGAATTTCTTACTTCAATGTAAAGGTCAAAATAAAAATGAATTTGGGCTAAGTTAACTAGGTTTACAATATTTGAATGTACAAAGGACTTACATGTCCAGACCGCTGTCAGTATTAAGGAAGCTTGTGAAAGAAAACCTCAAAGAGAGAATATTTTAGAAAGCTATTGCTAAATACTCTCTATTTAATGCAGATTAATAACTTAGTTGTTGATTCAACCTAGGCCATGATTGCAACACATTAAAAGGAAATATTCTATAAATTCCGATCAGTGTGGTTAATTAGTCTTAGTATTGCTTTCTAAAGTAAAGCTCTTCATGGAGTTATGTGGAAATGAAATCAAGTGGTGTGGGAGGAAGTATCTAGAGAGAACTCTGTTTTGTACAAAAAGTGTAACTCACAGTAACATTGAGACAGTATTTTCTGTTGTTGTTTTTTTTAAATCTGTGTCACTTATTTTTAAAGGCAGAGGAATATGAGAACGAGAAGTGAAATCACAGGATCCTACATTAGACTTTTTACTAGGAAAAGACACCCAAGAGAAACTTAAAAGGAGCAGAAATGAGCAAGGACAGCAATCAAGTTGCAATATTTTCCCGTAGCTGCAGTCAGGTGGTTGCTCTTACACATTTTGCATGGCAAATGAAAGAAAAATTAGTTCTTTTTTGGTTCCTTTTGAATCTTTGTGGCATGGTAGAGCGTTTGGGTAAAATATTTTCATTCCTCCTATTGACTGATAATGTGTGCACCTCTTTGCAGTTCTCGGTTTACACAGTTTAGGAGTTCAGAGGTCAAAATTTTAGTTCTAGCCATTCTCTAGCTAATGTATGATACCTGCCCTAGTTAGCTGACAGAGATGTTTTGACAACTAAATGAGATAAATATTACCTAAACACTTTTCAAAAATTGTTGAAGTTATCTGATTAGAAATGTGATGATGAGGATGAGGAGGATGATGATGATGATGATGATGATGATTTGCCCTGATGATTGAGAGGATTCAAAGACGAGTCCAATTATCACCAGAACCCTGGGGTTAGAGTAAAAACCTCTTTCTTCTCTTTCTCTCTTTCTCCTTTCCTTCCACATCATGTATTTACTTGATGCCAAGTATCACAAAAAGCACTGGTGGTGTGGAGACATGTACACATAGCCCAGGCTCCCAGCGTTAACAGGGAATCCAGGTGGCAGGAGAGCAGGAGACGAAAGCGTGGTGGTGGAATACAGTGGCCTACGTATCCTGAGCCCGTTAACCTACATTTCTGAATTTGTTTCCTCATCTATAAAATGGACATCATTTTATGGTAAGGTTTAAATGAGATGAATATTTATAGATCCTAGCAGAGGGCCTAGAACATGGTAAGCACTCAGTAAACCACAGCCGTTACCATCATTCCTACTTGACTTGGTCATCTGGAAATCCCAAGAACCATGGGTTTTCTAGAAGCATATTCTGAATTCTATAGAGTCACCTGCCCACCCATCTGCAGGGAACCCCCAGAGAAGTCTATAGGGGTGCAAACTCAAAAGGCTCAGCTGGAATTCAGGCCTTGCAAATGCTATGAGTGCTAATTTAGTAACTTCTAAATTCAAAAATGGTGTCACACATTAATTTGGCTTTGTTCACTGCCTCCTATCCTCCTGGTGAAAAAAAGTCTTTTTTAAGTCATAGAAATTAATTTTTATTAGCAGCAGGATATGAGTAATATTTATAAGTAACAAAACTTTTCTAGTAAGGCCATAAAAAATAACACTCATCAATATGCCATTACCAAGGAATCAATGACTAAGTTTCCAGAAAAATAGTTCTGGGTGCTGTGTAGTTCTGGACCTCCAAGACAAGGAAGCTCTAGACCAATAGTTCCCAACTGGGGGCAGTTTTGACCCACAATGGACATTTGTCATTGTCTGGAGATATTTTTTCATTGTCACGGCTGGGGAGGGAGGCTACTGGCATCTAAGGGGCAGAGGTCAAGGGTGCTGCCAAAAATTCTGCAATATACTGTCAAATAATTATCCTGGTCAAAATATCGAAAGTACTGAGGTTGAGAAAGCCATGCCTCGATATGAGCAGTACATACAGAAGACTCCTCACAAAGTGAAAGCGATTGATCTTGCCATCATGATAAGGTTCTTCCTGTGAGTGGGCATGTAGTCACTTTATTTTACCTAGGCTCACAGGCACTGGATGCTAAGCGGACTGTTACAGACCGAGGTGCTTCTTGCCTTGAGCCAAGAGATTTGTTCCTCTGCTAAGCAGTTTGTTGTGAGGTATATTGGAAGACACAGAAGACAAGCAAACAATCCAAGCAACTAAGGTCAGTGTCCTGAGTCTCTGAATTGTGGGGATCAGGGAGCCAGGTAGGTGACCACAGGGCAGAGTATGGCTGAGGCAGCCTAATTAGTTGCAGTTACTCATTTACTTCTCAGTGGTCAATGAACCAATCAGTCATCAATCAGCTTCTGTGTACAGGTCATGTTCCCAATGACTGACCGAGGGCTACTGCTCAGAGGTGGCATCTTGGCTAAAATACTATTAGAGGTCAAAGGCATCTGTTGGTTAGTGGCTGACTTGGTCTAATGACCTAGAGAAATGTGAACCATAGGGACTGAGGAAAAACCAATATTTTTGGACAACAATATTTGGGGTAATGGCTTTGCAAAACTCTATGTTGAGGTTGGCAGTCCCTTGGATTCAGACTAAAGGCTGAGACACCAGCATCTGAAATGACCCTCAGCCCAGAGGTGTACCTCATAAGGACAATACAACTTAATGGGAGCCCGTCCTTAACAATTACAAAGCTCCTTTCTGTTTACTTTTCACCAGATAAAATTGGGTTTGACTAGGGAAGGAGGAGATTGATGGGGAGATGGAAAGGATGAGGAAAGAAGAGGAGTCTGACTGCTTTGGTTTGAGTTTTCATTTTTCTTCACTATTTGTGGAGGTGAACTTACCAAAAAGTAGAAGGCAGAACACTTGGTGGCAAAAGTCAATAGATTCTGAAGTCCTCGGCTTCCTGCCTATTTTGTGCATGAGACCCAGAGCAATCCAATGAAGCCATTTTTCAGGGGCGAAAAAAGTTTTACTTACCCCTGTCAAATCTTCAACTTTTTATTTTGAAATAATTTAGAATTTATGGAAAAGTTGAAAGAATAGTACAACCCAGATTTCCCAGATATTAACATTTTACCACATTTATATTCTCCTTCTCTCTTTATATACATATGCTATATGTGTGTGTGTTTAATGTTTATTTATTTATATACATATTCTTATTATTTTCTGAACTGTTTGAAAGTAAGTTGAAGATATGGTGCTACTTAATCTTCATATTTTTCAGTGTGTATTTCCTAAACAGCAGGACATTTTCTACATAATCATAGTAAGTTATCAAAATTGAAAAACTAATATTAATGTGTATTATTTATCAGATCCACAGATTTTATTCAAATTTTACTAGTTGGTTCTTTCTGGCAAAAGAAAGAAAATGATTTTCTGGTCCAGGCTCACATGCTGCATTGGGTTATCACATCTCTTTAGTGTCCATTAATTTGGAACAGTCCTCAGTCTTTCTTTTCCTTCATGACTTTGATGTTTTTAAACAACATGTACATGACCTACATTTGCCCCATAACTAGTGGTATTAATTTTTATCATTTGGTTCAGGTGGCATCTGTTAGATTTCTCCACTGTGGCATTACTATCGCTCTTTTTAAAATTAGTATGTATCTTATGGGGAAGTTCTCTGAGATTCTCTAATTATTGTTTCTCTCAGAATTTCACCCACTAGTTTGGCATCCATTGATCATTCTTGCCTAAAAAATTATTACCATATCAGTTGCCAAATGGTGGTTCTCTAATTCCATCATTTCTTTTACATTTATTACTTGGAATGTCAGTTCTTCTATAAAATGAGACAAATAATGTGCCCTCTCTAACTCCAAAGGGTGTTGAGAGGATCAAATGCTTGAGCAAAACACTACACTAGTTGAATTTATAAATATAAAATTTCCTTAAAATGTCTAATTATGTAATTTCACAAGAGTTAGCTACACCCACCCAAAAACCTATACATTTTTAATGTATTTATATATTTGAGAAGGGGAAATCCCGCTACATGGACTTTGATTTGCAACATATCAGTAACTCCTACACAGGAAAAATTTAGGGAAACTATACCAAATTATTAAGCCCTGACAGTCTAAAAGCTTGACTGCTTTAGAAATAGTCAAACCACAAGAATCAATTAGTTTGCCCCAAACTACCATATTTTAATATTTACCTTTGACTTATTTTTATCAACTCTTTTATCCTTTCTTCCTTTAACTATAGCTCTTTTTTTGGAAAAATGTGAAAGTAGAGCCCAAAATTTCCTTGAGATGTGAAGAAGATATATTACATTGAGTTATTTTTTATCTGAAATAATATGTTCCTTATAAAGCAGTAGAAATAAAATTGTGTATATATGTGTGCATGAGTGTGTGTGCATGTGTAATTTTATTTGTGTATATGTTTATTATTACTTATTGGGGGGAAATATTGACATTACAGGGAAAAAACTGGAAAAGAATATACCAAAATATTAAGAGTCAAATATGATAATCATTACTTCCTTTTTAAAGTTTTTCTGTATTTGCTAAAAAATTTTACCATGAGCACAAATCATTTTTACAAGCAGAGGAAAACTGGGCAATTTTAAGAAATGGATCAAAGGAAAGGCCAAGAAATCGTTGTTAAGAAAACAAAGTTCAAACAAAGTTTATAAAATTGCTTGGCCTTGCAAGTACTTTTTGAACACAGTGTCCATGAACAGCCACGATTCCAGAAGCATCCACGAGTCCTGAACTTCAACTCAGAGCCTATATATCCATTGTCTTCTATGAGGCACTCGTGGCTTCTTTTGATTCCAGATCAAGAACAAAGATATTATGTGGACTTAGGGCAAAGTGAGGAAACTTTCTGAGGCATATGGGAAGGAAATAAGGTATTTTCCATGTGTGATGTTCTCTGTGGCCTCTCTTCCTTCCACAGGCAAAGAAAGCCAATATGGGCCCCTGGCTGCTCCTACGTGGCATTGGACCCAATAATCTCCTTCCCTTGGGTTTGCCCTATGACTGTAAGTTAGGAGGCCTGGGCCCCCAAAATGCTCAGATCTGAGGCAAACAGGCAAATGCCCTACAGTTCTTATTCCCTTCTTACTGGGGGGCTTGCTCTCCCCCCAGCTATCAGTAAGTAGAGTAAAAGCGAATAGTATTGGCTGTCTTTGTAAATAATAAACATTGTATTATAGATGGAATCTTTCCCTGTGGTACTTTTGATATTATACTTCCAAATTAATATTATACTTGTCAATGATACGACTGCCTAATTTATCCACAACTATTATTTTGTACCCAAACCCTGTATAATATTAATGGAGCTTTCAACAAGGCATAGACATTTAAATGGTCAAGGCTATCTAAATTAAGAAATTAATATAGTATTCTTTAACATTTATTTTTAATCCAAAAATAATTGTGGTATTTCTAAATTGCTGCAGTAAACATATAACAAAAATAAAATTTCCTTAAAATTTAAAAAAAAATGATATATGCTAAGAAGAATGCAGGTACATGCTGCTGAGGAAAAGGTTAAGGAAGCTCTTCACCTGTTTGATTTTAGGCCCTAAGTTGTCTCTAGCCCTGACAAAATTAGCTTTCCAGGTCATTCAGCTGCACTTATGGTCAAAGCTTCACAGTTTTAAAGTATGAATTTGCTTTACTTTGTCCTCTCTACAAGTGATGTTTTTCTCACAGGAAGTTGGTATCCAGAGATGACAGAATCTGAGAATTATTGATTCTCATGAGGGATTTTGTGCCTTTGGCCATCATCTCTCTTTCAATCTCTTTCCATTCATCTCTTCCTCTCTCTCAGGGAACTCATTGGTGGCCTCACATTTTAATATTCTCTGCATTGAGTTGTAATGGCCTCAGAGTTAGGTTGTAGGATGACATTGACCCACTAAAATAAGAAAATAGAAACCAACTTGCAAATATTTTTGTTGTGGCAACACCAAAACACTCTACTTTTCTCAACAGTCTGAAAATAATTAAGACTCTTATAAATCAATTAAAATTGAACAATGTTTTCTAATAGAATTTTTTTCTATTCTAGTCTTGAATTTCATGAAGTATAATAGCAAGAGATAAGATTGTACCATTAGAGTCTATCCTTCAGATAGATGAATTCACACATGAGATTAATGTCACATCAACACAATGACCTGTGTCAGCTTTGCCATGGCTTCTCTCTTTCTCTCTCCCCCTCCCCGTCTCGTTCTCCCTCTTTCATTTACTTTTCTGACTATTACTTGGTTAGTTTTTGCATTACTTTAGAGAAGTGGTTTAGCACTTAAATGGTCATCTTCACAAACAAATAAGAATTATTTTTTTAACTATCTATTTACCTACTATTTATGTATCTGCATTAAAATATCTCAAGTTCATCAATCCTGGGTTATAATGCCTTGATGGTTCTAATTTGAATTTTCTTTCTAATTTTGTGTACTCAGGACAACATCTTCTTTTATTGTTCAAGAAAGAAGTATCCCTGTCATATAAAGGAGGGGGGAAAAATGCTCTTTTGGGTGTTAGCCCTTCTAATCCTTTGTGGTTTTCTATGGAATTATAAAAGACAACTAAAGATTGCAGACATCACTGATAAGTACATTTTCATTACTGGGTGTGACACGGGCTTTGGAAACTTGGCAGCCAGAACTTTTGATAAGAAAGGATTTCGTGTCATTGCTGCCTGTCTGACTGAATCAGGATCAACAGCTTTAAAGGCAGACACCTCAGAGAAGCTTCACACTGTGCTTCTGGATGTAACTGACCCAGAGAATGTCAAGAGGACTGCCCAGTGGGTGAAAAACCAAGTTGGGGAAAAAGGTGAGTGACATGAGGATGGGAGAAGGGAAGGGGTGTTGCAAAATAACTAATGCTAAGTAAAAGGTGTTCAGATTTTAAATCGCCTTTCCAGAAAATGTTTTCTAAATATCTGCTGTACACTGGAGAAGTTTCAAGTAATCTTAGGGTAGCCCCTGAGTAGTTCCAATTTGCAAGCTCTCTGTGCATGAGAGACACAGCCCAAGTTATCCTCAGTCTTAAATCCAGTGGGTGAATTTAAAACTGAGATGGAGGAATTGACGTCTCCTGGTCTTCTCCCATGAAGTACTACTCTAGCCACAAACACAGCAAAGGAACCTGAGGCTAAAATCTACAGGAGAATATAGGAAACAATCCCCAAATTGCCATCTAGATACCCAGGCCCTACTTCTCACTACAAAATGGTTC